TTGTGTCCAGATGATGTGCTGTTTAACTAGCATAACAGGAGTTGGACACACCCTACTGTAAATGCACCTGCACCATGCATTTTAGACCATGAGCTGTGGATTGTTTAATAGGGTCCTAACTGTTCAAATTACTCACTAGTGTTAAATCAAGGTAAAAGTTGAATGAAGACATTTACATGCAGGATTTATTCTCTAATAGGAAATATATAGTCTAGTACATCATTCCTAGTTGTGACACGGAAATCCCAGAATTAATCTTTGCAGAATCAAGCACAAATTCACATTAGCTGCAAACTCCATTTTAAATTTCAGCCTCCAAGGGCAAAAATTAATGCAGCCAAATGGTGGGGAAATTTTTGTGGACTAAGCAACGGAGCAACTAAAAATGCACCAAAACACTTTTTGTTAACAAACTGCAGGTGTGCATTTTTTACTTGCTTGTCAGTAAAGAATGCTTTGGCTCTTGTATTCTAATGGATGGATCATACCACTGAGGGGCCCCTGGGCCGAACTTGTTCATATACTGCAGGACTGTGTGCATGCTTCTTGCATGGTCACTTGGCAATACATGTGCTCTTTTTCAATCAAGAAAAGACCCCAGAAATATATTATTCTCCTGCTGTAGTGCTGCATGTGCAGAATGGCATCCTGGGTGTTTTGTCAGAGATGTAAAGAGCACCAGAGGGGTGCAGCCCTCTGACTGTCCCCCTGCGTCAGTCTGTTGCTGCTGTTGCTCCCATACAGGCTGCAGGAGTGTGGCTCACATGTCACATGCCAGTGAAGGAGTGCAGGATTATGTTCTCAGAGAGGGGAAAGCAGGGCAGCCAGTTCCCGTAGTGTAGTGGTTATCACGTTCGCCTAACACGCGAAAGGTCCTCAGTTCGAAACTGGGCGGGAACAGCAGTTTTTAGCCCAAAGACGGCAGGTGGTGTGTTTGTTGTTGAGCCTAATGAATTGCGGAAGCTGCAGCTGTTGGTTATGTGTCAACAGTGCTGTTCTTTGTTGCGTGCAGGTTTTTACGGTTAATAAAAAGGCTAAACTGGCCACCAATAACCACATATGTGACCAGTTTTTGCTTTTATTAGAATAAGCAAAACATTAAGCCTTTAGTGCCACTTTTTGGTCATAATTTCTTTTTATAAATACTTTGCAACAATTGACACTACCAAGAATCATTATAAAGAGAACTGAACCGACTTCCTGTTCCCCTGCAGTGTCTATCAGAAAGACAGACCATGTGGCAGCTGAACAGCATGCCTTATCTTATCTGCTTTGTACTGTCCCTGCAGATCAGTCAGGGCAGAGTACTGGCTGTATATACATCCTGGTTCACGGCTGTCTGCTTCTTCTTTTGAAGTTAAGACTCATAGTTATGATGTATTCTGTTCTGCCTGACTGATAGAAAGTCCAACCAGAGGCAGGAGAAGATACTGAAATCAACCATCAATTTTCTTTAGGGCCTTCAAGTTGGCCATACCACATGGCAGCCACATGGATTCGGATATTCGAACACACCAAAGGCCGATTAGATGAGGTGTGTGTGTGAGCATACTTGAGTCAGGTTTGTTAGGCCATACAGAGCACGGTAACCAGCTGAGCCTCAAACCTGCTACACACTCATAGACATATAGCTCACGGAACAATGAGTTCCCATATATGCTGGTTGAATTACTGTATCCTCCAAACACACTCTCACATATTTATTGCATTCTATATAAGGACAAAGCTTCGAGTGTGTTCCCCAACTGGAATGCGTACAAATCAGTGTGTACAGTGGTCCACTAGATTGGAAGTATTTCTGTGCTTTGCTCCGGGCTGCAGTCTGCCTTGAGTCATATATCCTCCATAGTTTTTACGGTCCTACAAAGACAGCTTTGCATCCTAATCAGAGCCACATTAGCCCGAGGATGTCTCTAAAAAAAAACACCAGACACTTTCTGACTTTTATCATTTCCTTGACATGTGCATGAATGCACACACATACTGTATAGTAGATGCTCATGTGCTAGAAATCCCCTTCAAACATTCCTCGGAACGGAAATCAGTCATCGGACTTTTCATCTGTTTGGAGTGAGATGAAAGGGGGACATGCTGGTTTGCTTTCTATAGGTTCTTAAAAAGGTCTAAAATGTGTTAACATACAGCCAATAAGCAAAAAGGGAGGCTTTAAAATATATTCTTTATAGTCTTCTAGGATATTATTTGCCTTAAATACTTCATCCCCCAAATGACCATTTGTATATGTATTTTTCACCCTTTGTTACATTGACTTCTTGAAGAAAACTATGTTCTTTACACATGCCTCAATGGTAAATGAAGAATCCAGAAAGCTTAGAAAACTAATGAATGAATTGAAGTCATAGTAGTCCACGTTTAACAACAGCAAAACTATATCAAAACATCTGTTTACATCGTTCACCATGGAGGATGCAAGTAAAACAAAATTTTCTTCATGAATTCAACATAACATGGGGTGAGTAACTGATATACAAATGTCCATTTAGGGGGTGAAGTATTCCTTTAATTTTTTAGTGTATTCTCCTACTACATGTCTACAGATCTCCGCTACATTCAGTGAGATTAAGATTAGCTTTATATGGCCACATCTACACCGCATTAGCTCTCTCCAGTCCCTGCCTGCTCTGTTACCTGCTGCCCTCTTCCTGTCAGTCCCCTGGCTGAGCTGTCACTCAGGATAAAACCTTAAATCCTCTCGCCGCTTTGTTTAAACCAGCTGACTGCACACATCCCCCGATGTAAGTCACAATTCATTTCCAAGAAAGCTGTCTCTTCTCATGCAACCCTTCTCCTGACATTGTGTTTCTAATTCTGAGTGTAATATCTAGTATGAACCAAGTCAGTCTGAATTCTGTTGAGGCCTCTCCAGCCAAACAGTCTGCAGTCATCACTTTAAACAAACTAATTTTCCAGGAAAGGAAAAGGGTGAAACAAGTTCCTCTCCAAGTATTTTTAATTACAAAAAAAAAGAGCCCAGCTGAGGATATGATTTCAAGAGAGGTCAGTGAGTGTAACCGCCGCCTATAAAATACCCGCTTTGTTTTTACAACCCCATTGCAGTGCATTCATATTTAATCAGGTTTTTTTAGAAATCAGCAGAGGCTAATAGGAAGGAAATCGGTGGGAGGAACAGTTTTAGTCTAATTCGTGGGGTTGCAGGAGGCATCAGCAGCCAGTCCTGGACCTTTGCCCAGTTCCCTTCTTGGCAGTAGCTGTGTAAAGACCCAGTTGCAGTGATTACCTGTCCCTCGTCTCAATCCCTGCTGGGAAAACAGGCTTTAACGATGATAGGAATGCGTGAAACCAATGCCAAATGGCTTTTTTACGAGGTAATGAAATACTCTCACTGAGAACTTTTAATGGCCGCAGCCTAATGCCTGACAATAAGAAAAGTGTGCTGCCCTTGTGCTCACCCGACAATCATTATTTTCCTCTACGTTGAGCACATCACCACGCAGCATTGTAATGACATAACTGTGCAGTGCAAGCAGCCTATAAAAAAGGCATTAGCTGTTGTGGCCTCACACGGCGGGCACACACTCCAGGAGACTTAAAACAACAACAGGCTGCCATCTATCATGTCTCGGAGGACATCATGGGACGTGTGACCCAGACTTTGAGAATGTGTGCGGTGAAGTAGGCCAAGTGTCTGAGCCAATCTGGAGCCCTTGTTGAACCCCAAGAGACTGCAGAGGGTATATGTGGGGAACATAAGTGGCATCTTTCTTTCCTGAAGGAGACTCACTGACTGTGTTGTGGCACAGGCTGCAATGACAGCCTGACTTTCATCTGGTTAGAAAAATGGAGCAGTTACAAGGTGAACTCTGGACTCAGTGAATATTAATCACAGTTTCAAAGCGTCCCCCCTCACCTTCTGCTCACCTCTGCAGCTTTGCCTTTCTTGTTCAAACATTTGCACGGTGGTTATCGACATTTCCTCAGCAGGGGTTTCTCAATGCATGCCTGAAGATTGTGTTTGTCCGTGTTTTTTTTGAGGAGGGGGGAGCAGGTGTCAGCCAGTTCCTGTAGTGTAGTGGTTATCACGTTCGCCTAACACGCGAAAGGTCCTCAGTTCGAAACTGGGCAGGAACAGCACTGTTTTTCTCTGCCAGAAAACAGGCGGTGTATTTCGTCTACAGAACAGCAACTGTTCATTTCAAGAAGCTCAAATGACAAGCCCATCTTGTAATACACACCAAAAAGTAAAAGCTGGCTTCCTAATTTGTTTTAGTAGAGGAAATAATCTCCTCTCTTTAAGCGGGGAACGTGAGGGTCGTCCCTGTGTTCCCAAGGGCCTAGTCGAGGCGTGTGTTGGGTGTTGAGCATGTGTGTCTCTCGATATAAACTAACAGTGTAGGAGATTGGTAAGGGCTGTCTTTGCAGTTCAAATTGCAGAAGAACAAAGAGAGATGGATGTTTCGAATGCAGCTTGAATGGTAAAAATCAGTTCAGCCACTGTTTAGATATCAGTGTCTAAAATCTCACACATTTAAGGGCATCATTAGGCTGTAAGCTACAGGTGATTTCAATATTACAACAAACAAACACTGAATATTTGACTTTAAGAAAAAACATTTCTGAGACAATAAACCCCCTCAAAGGTCTCCTTAATGAGTCACCTGAAGAGGATATCGAGCTGGGGAACATAGATACACTGCTAAAAATTGTTTTAGTTGCTCCACTCTGGTGAGATACCCAAAGTTAAACCCTTGCCTTTTACTCCCCGCCAGAGAAAACCCTGTCATGCATGTGTTGCCATTACACAAAACTGTTTCCTCTGTGGTGAATGTATTTGTAGTGACTTGTTATTGTTGTTTCATAATGCTGTCAGGCAGAAATGTGACTTTTCCACAGTTTTTATCTGATGATTTGATTAAGCCGCCTCCTCTTTTGGGAAAATCCCGTACAAATGAAGTCATGTGCCCTTATTTGGTCAAAAATCCTATCAAGCATCATGTCTTTGTCTCTGTTGTGTCTTCCAGCTGGATCCTCAGACGGTGCAGTCCAAGAACTGGCACATGGACGTCATAGAGATGAATGGGGTAAGACACAAGCAGTTTCAACTCTGATAGGACTTATCTCTTAGATTATAATGTACTATGTGTAATGTAGTCTTGTGATGAGATGTTATGTTTGGCAGAGATGATAAGGCTGGCCAGTTTTTCTGACTGCATAGCGTTTCTATTCACTGAATCCTCTTATATCCCTGCTGATGTGAGAAATGTTTTCCCCACAAGTACAAAAGTTTGTGTACGCACAGGTTTTTGAAAAGGAGAATTGAGTTGATAATATAAATAGGGCTGTCCCCGAATGGAAACAGATTTACCTGTTTAAAGGAGTTATATGTAAGAAATCTAAAGCAAATAGTTGTAAAATCCTCCTAATATGTCACAGAGACTAAGGAATAATGTTCATATAACATACTGATCTCACCGACAACAATAGTACAGCCAGAATATTCGCATTTTAAAAAAAAAATTACAGTCGGCAAATCATGTTTATGTTTTGAATTTGTGTTTTGGCCTGTTGCGCCACCCACCGCCGTCTACCAGTCACACAGTCAGTAGAGTCTCAGCATCAGTTACAGTTACGACTGAGCTACAGCAGCACGGCAAGCAGCATTAGCAGTGTCCCGGTACATAGCATTAGCAATCTCCTCAGCTGTATCCCGGCAGCAGCGTTAGCAGCAGAGAAGCCAGACTTGCTCGAACGGTCCACTGGAAAACCGAAGATCAAGGACGCGGCGACATGGCCCTGCCACGGCAGCCGCCCATGGGCAAACAAATCAGTCTCCAGCGTGCCACTGTCCAGCAACCTCGAATCTGTAGTGGTGGGGGGGCGGACACGACTCGCGGCAGTATTTTGAATTTGAGTGCAGTAACCGTTTTGGCCACATTCTTACATACAGCGCCTTTAACATGAGCATCCAACTTTTTGTTCCGTCTCCTGCACCTTCAGTAATATTCACAGGCCTCATATCTAGTAGGAGTGGGGGAAAAAATCGATACAGCATAGTGTTGCACTATTTTTGTTTGGCAATACTGTATCATCACACAGGGCCAAGTACCCATTTTTTTAATGATACAAATTATTAGTATTGCAAATTAAACTTTAGGTAGCCTACTAGAATAATATAATCAGTTGCTTTGTCAGTGCAACAGACACATTTTGCTGCTGCAAAAAAAATGACCGAAGTGAAATGAACAGACTGAAAACTTAATCTTATTAGATAAAACAGATGTTGACAAAGTTTTCCTTTGGGAACATAATTTACAGTTAAAAAAAGGTAATAAACTGCAGTATATTTTAGGGCAATACTTACCACATCTTTACATATTTAAAATCGTAATAATATTGTATAGTGACTTAAGTATCGTGATAATATTGTATCATGTATCATATCTAGCGCAATGAAATCTGCGATGCTGTCTGTAAAAGACGAGCTATGATCATCGTCACTACTGTACGTGGGATGGCCCTAGCAGAGGTATAAAGTACATAACATGTGTTATAGCCTTAAACAGACTTATTGCCTGCATTGCATGTGTGGTAAATCAGCCCAGATAATTGCAGATAATCATTGTTCAATGATGTTGAATTTTGCTTACATCTTACTTTGTTAGTTTTGTCCTTCTAAAGTTAAAAATGCTGCCAAACTACAGACGTCTTCTGAGACCTCTCTGCCTCAGGTTTTGTCATCAAACCTGTTCATCCTGTTAGAATATAAAAATATAATATAATGTACACTGAAAAATAATGACAGTGCAACTTGAAGATTTTCCTGTCAACTGAGGGGGTCACTGAGGCGACTCGTCAACTTTCAGGGAGCAGCCCTAAATATAAGGAAATCTCAAAAAAAAAAAAAATCTGTTCGGCTGTAATCTTTACAATAAAATCCACATGTTAAAAATGTTGAGCTTGAATATGTCGGGTATTAAATTTCAATGTCAAAACCGCTAAATCTCAATGCAAAGAAAAACATAAAAGTTGTCGGGGTCCCAAAGTTCGGTTCTTCTTTGAGTAACGCAGTTTCCTTTCTCTTCAGATCAAAGTGGAATTCTCTATGAAGTTTACGAGTCGGGACCTCAGCTTGAAGAGAACGCCATCCAAAAAACAGAGTGGGGTGTTTGGAGTCAAAATCAACGTGGTGACAAAGTGAGCATGTTTCCGTTAATGAGACCAGAATGTGCTGTTACCTTCAAAATAAAATAAAGTCTTTGCAGCTTTATGCACATTTATTGTTGTATATTTGAGCTAGCAAACAGATAAATCTGTAAATGTACCTACATTATCAGAAAAGATAACATGCTGTTCATGTCCACAGGCGCGAGCGCTCCAAGGTGCCTTACATCGTCCGTCAGTGCATTGAGGAAGTGGAGAAGAGGGGGATTGACGAAGTGGGAATCTACAGGATCTCAGGGGTGGCCACGGATATCCAGGCCCTCAAAACTGCATTCGACACCAGTAAGACTCCACTGACTGTCCATCCCATCATCTTGACCTGAGAACTAACAACAGTTTCAACAACACAACAGATTGTATTATATGTAACAGCAAAATCCCATCAGTGAATCATCGGAATTTCCCTTTTAAGCTGATAGTTTGGTGACCTACATCTAATCATTTATCCCGTCAGATTACATAACACCACAGCAGTCATCAAGCATGTACCTGTTACAAATTTAGTGCATGCATAAACACTGGAAGTTTAGTATATATATTATTAAACTTAGGTATAAATTATGGGGGTATAAAGCAATGTTTGCAATCTGCCATAAAACAACAGGATGATCAAGCAACTATGCACTGTTGAAGCAGGGAGTACCATGATATTGATGCAGAAAAGGCACAAATTGGTGCATAAATTAACCAGAATGCAGGAAATGAAGTGTTTGACACTCAGATTTTAACATCCCTGCAGCCCAGAGGTTTAGGTAATCGAGGCCTTCGCTCTAGCACCTAGTAGACGTGAGAATTGGGGGGCCAGGACAGATGAGAAGCAACAGCTGTCAAGCGTTCAAGTTTTATGTTGCGTAAGAGTCTCTCAGCGTTGGTCCCAAGCGGAGCACAGTATCACCTTACATTTCTGTGTGTAGTATCATTAAGCACGTCTGCATCTGTCTCCGTCTGGATGTGAGGTTATTGAGAGATTACATTATTCCCGGAGACGGAAAGAGCAGCTGTGTTATTGTTCGGCTGTAATAATGTAATGCGTTCACTTTCCAATCGCTCTTTGTTTGTGTCTGACCATGGAGGATGGAAAGTAAAATAAGTATCACTAAATAAATAAATTAATTAATAAATATGGAAATAAACGCAGAGGTTAGGACCTCCTCCCTCATTAATGTACAGACACAGAAATGAATAAATGTAGTTATCCAAAAATGTAGAAATAAATTTAAGATATTTGTCCAGTTTAATTTGTTTTTTTTTTAAATGTTTTTTTACATTTATTCATTAATTTATTTATGTATTTGTTTCAGCATTTATTCATTTTTACTTATTTATTGCTGTATTTATTTATTTATTTATGTCCTGTTTATCTATCAACTTTTATTTATTTATGCAATTTTTTCATTTATTTCAGTATTTATTTATGCATTTTCTTTTTTTTTTTAAATATTTATTCCTGTATTTATTTATACATGCTCAAGTTATTGTTTATCCTCCATATCTGACCTGTAGATACCAAAGACATCCTGGTGATGCTGAGCGACATGGACATCAACGCCATCGCAGGAACACTGAAGCTGTACTTCAGGGAGCTGCCGGAGCCTCTGCTCACCGACCGCCTCTACCCCGCCTTCATGGAGGGCATAGGTGCGACCTTTGAGTCCTGGAAGTGTGTGTTTGTCATCAGTGGGGAGCTAAATTTGCCCAGCTGGAAGAGATAAGGGCTGAAGTTAGGAAGCTGTCGTCCCATAATTGAATCTGACATCTTTTTTTCCTCTCCCTCGCAGCGCTCTCAGACCCGGCAGCCAAGGAGAACTGCATGATGCACCTCCTGCGCTCCCTGCCCGACCCCAACCTCATGACCTTCCTCACTCTGCTGGAGCACCTCAAACGGTACACACATGCACGCAGTAACCCACAGACATAGACAGGGACTCCCACTGATCACAGTTAGGCCACCTGTCTGTAAAAAAGAAACCATGTCTGTTGGTATAATCAGAATAGTGAAGTTGATGTGTCTCAACACCCGTTATTATATACAGTAGAAATCTTTTAGACCAGTGGTTCCCAAATGGTGGATCCCGGTGCAAAAGTGGGTCACTGGTCCATTCTGAATGGACCGCAAGTGACTCACGAATGTGTCAGGTTTGTAAAAAACACACATTATTTTGAAGTGCAGTGGATATTTTCTGCCCATGCTCAGGTTCATTCTTGTGTTTTGGGTTTCTACTAGAACATGTTTACATGTTTTAACGTTCACTTTATTTTTCTCGTACTGTCTGCCATAATATACCTGTATTCCAGTGCGTTTTATTTCCTATCTCTTTAAGCCCTTCTCCCGAAAAAGCACAGTCTGCCCCAATTAGTCAGGTTTTCCACACCGTCATCGCATCGGAGGAATGACTATAAAATAGTGACACTCTCTACCCTGAAAAATCACAAATAAAAGCTTTTAAACTCAAATCATGTTTAGCTGATGTTAGCATCTAGCTACATGTAGCAGTGTATGTAATCTAAACAAGGTCCCAACTGATGGGTTGAGGTCCAAAAATGGGTAGCAGGTCCATTCTGAACGGACCATAAGTGTGGGTTGTGAACGCATCGAGTTTGTAAAAAACACACTGTATTTTGAAGCAAAGTGAATTTCTGGCACAGAGCTTTTATTTTGAAGTGGCGTTTCCTGCTGTAGAGTTAGTGACTAACTGACATCTACTTAACAGAAACAGCAAACTAGCTCAACGACATGGCCAAACGCAAGTATGACGCCGAATATATTAAACTGTGTGGACCTTGAGCTAATGACTGAGGAGAAATCTGGACCAGTTGGGAACTGCTGTTTTAGACCATCTCATGTCTTATTTTCAGATGAACTCGCAGATAAATTCAACCAGTCATTTAATTGTGATCCTCCCAAACATCTCACAGGCAGAGGCCTATTTTCAGTCAGACAGCGAGGTCCTGAAATATGAAACTCAGAGTTTGAACTGTTACCCTCAGATCATCATTTAAAAGTGCCTATAATTAGGACCAAGCCATAAAATGCTGCCATTTACATGTTGAATGGTAGATAGTGTTAACCTTTGCGTTGATTGCTCACATTGTTTACTTGTATTTTTGACCTGGGTGCTGTGGAACATCTGTCTGAACCACTCAGTAAACTATGTCCGGTTGTTGTTGTTCATCCCCTGCAAGGAACAGTGAAAATACTTTGAACTCTGGATAGTTGCTAAAGAAGATTTGTTTTCTGTTATTTAAAGAGAGGTAATCAGCAGTAGTAGTTTAACAGTGTTCATTTAAACCTTCAGATCAACACCATCTTTTGACCTTCACGGTACAGCCACAATTCTGTGTTCAGTTTCTGCCTACGTTTGTAATGGCTGCCTTCAACATGGCACCCCTGACTGTCTCTCCAATGTTTTAACCCCGCCCTCTTTGACTGACAGGCCTCCTGGTGTTTTTTTTTTTTTTTTTTTTTTTAAACAGGGTGGCTGAAAAGGAGCCCATCAACAAGATGTCCCTCCATAACCTGGCCACTGTGTTTGGCCCCACTCTGCTCAGGCCCTCAGAGTCAGAGAGCACGAAGGGACAGCACATCACCTCCGCCTCTGACATCTGGTCACATGACGTGATGGCGCAGGTACCTACACACAGACGCATTTTGGTGCTGACCAGGGTTGGAAATTAACTTTTTAGTCTATTGCCTCTGTGGCCGGTGGATTTCAAAATCTAGCAGCCACTCATTTGTTTGCCGTTGTTTTTTTTGTTTTTGTTTTTTTCGGCTTGTGAGTGACGCAAAACTAGCAGCCACTTGCATATTTTATTAGCATTTAGCTAATGGCTGGTGCTAATTTCCAGCCCTGGTGCTGCCTTAAAACTAATAATTGTGTGGATATTTACCTTTCACACAGTTGTAGCAATGTTTAGACCAAGTTTTAGTTTTCGGACCTATGAATCTACAAAAACTCAGTATGCATCCCCTCTGTGACTGTACATCGTAGATGGTAGACTGGTGCGTACATGCAGATTTCCTCGGTCGCCGCACATGTTTTCCGGATGAATTTCACTCCCACGTCGCTCAGTGACCCCTGTCACTGCGGTCTACTCTCCCAGCTGTATTTAGGCTGCAGGCCATCCATTCATCTCTACTGAGAGATGAGTTTCCTGTGCACAAATGTTTTTTTTTTGCCTTGGCAGAATAAACAACATCCAGAGTAAATCATCATAAATGGGGCAGCGTGCACATGCAGGAGGTCCCGTCAGTCCACTACAGTGAGGCTGAGTGTTTGTATTGGGGCTTCTTTAAATTCTAAATGTTTATGGCGCAAGTATACAAAATGTCACACACCAAAGAAAGATGCTTCCGCTGCCATATCCTCAACATAATCTCATATGATGGATTCTCCTTTATTTTAATAAAAGAACCATGTAGCAGCAATAAAGACTTTCCTGGACATGTTTTAGAGACACAGACTCACAAATGCACCTTCTCAGGTGAGTAAAATACATATTGTAAATTAAATTACCAACAAGAACCTGTGTTTCCTGGTAAACTGCTAGCAACATTAAACAAAGAGTACATCAAATTAAGTTTTCCAGACATATGCCCGCCTGATGAGACCCATTAAAGGAGGGATTCAGGGACATTTGTGGAACATTAGACTGTTTTAATAAAGCAGATTTTCCAGACGTGTTCATTTGTGACTTAACTGACTGTCAGAATTCATCAAAATCATAAAAAAGGTTTTCTTTAAACTTTATTTTAGTAGTCACAGGTCAGGGTTGTGTGTTTTTTCACAGGAGTTGTTGCTAAGCAGCAGACTGAGTTAAACACAGACTGCAGACAAACTTCGAGAAGCAATTAACAGGCAGAATCCAGCTTCAGGCAGATAACAGAGCAAAGAACAACTTTCCAAATAAGTGCTGAATTAGGCAGCAGTCCAACTTCAAAGCAGCCAGACATCCTTAAATATTAACTAACAATTAAATAGTTTGTAGCAGTCAAACACAAGAGTCATAATTATCATTTAAAACTCTAGAAGAGAGCAAAGTTGTTCTGTAATAATTTTTACTTAGAGAGAATCAAGCATAGGAAGACACAGTCTGCTTCACATCAGGTGGTTCATTTGTGGAAGAAAAAATGATGAGGAAGTAGATCCAAGTGACCTTATAGATAAAAATATGTACTGTACCCATTCATAAAAGGTGAATGGCAGCCAGTGTTAGATCACAGTCAGATTGATAACTTGTACTGTAGATGTACAAATGTAGTGAAATTGTTGCTTTAGATGACGAAAAGTGTAGTTCGAACAAAACAATATTAACATCCTTTATGTTGTAGTTTTTAAATATTTTTTGATTTTATGGGCTCAGCCTTAGAGATAGGGTGAGGAGCTCGGACATCCGGAGGGAGCTCGGAGTAGAGCCGCTGCTCTTCTCGTTGAAAAGGGTCAGTTGAGGTGGTTCGGGCATCTGATCAGGATGCCTCCTGGGTGCCTCCTGTTGCACGTCCCACTGGTAGGAGTCCCTGGGGCAGACCCAGAACACACTGGAGGGATTACATATCTCATCTGGCCTGGGAACGCCTCAGGGTCCCCCAGGAGGAGCTGGAAAGCGTTGCTGGTGAGAGGAACGTCTGGGGTGCTTTGCTTGGCCTGCTGCCCCTTTGACCCGGCCCCTGATAAGCAGATGAAAATGGATGGATGGAAAAATATTAAAGCGTTAAGTACAAGCTAAGGGCTGGCGTGGACGTGAACCCTTGCCCCACTTCTCCTTCTCTTCCTTTTGTTATTTCAGTAGTCTCTCATGTGCGCTCTGTCTCTCCTCCGATTCTCCATCACATTGCTTTGCTCTGTTGTCGTCACTTTCCCTCTCAGTTGCAGCGCCTCCCCTCCCCAGCTATCCCCATTTACCAAAAGTATCAGTGTAAGTTCTTTGCTGTGACTATATCCAGTAGCAGAAATGCTGGATGATGACACAGCTGAGTTAATTGTGGAAAACATAAAGCAGTGTGTCCTGTTTGTTGGTGGTTGCTAGGCTCAGAGGACAATGGAAAGTGTTCTTGTTGTCTTTGCAACAACGGCAGCAACAGTAATATCTCTTGGAAAAGTTGACAAGTTGTCTGTTTCCACTTTAATTTGGAAAGAATTAAAACAAATTTTTAACCAAACAAACTTGTTTTCTTTCTTTCTTCACAGGTCCAGGTGCTGCTCTATTACCTGCAGCATCCTCCCATCTCCTTTGCCGAACTGAAGCGCAACACGCTCTACTTTTCCACTGACGTTTAGTCCCCACCCGCCTCCCTCAGGGCGCCATCTGGAGAGGAGAGCGTGAGAGACTCCATACAAACCTTGGTCCTCACCACTCGGTCCTCCTGCCTCACCTCTCCGCCCAGCAGGCAGCTCATCTTGACTGTACAGCCCCCAAAACACACATCCCTCCTGTCTGCACCCCTGAACCCCCCCCAGTCCTAAAAAGAGATGGAGCCGAGCACGTAGGGAGGTGGTGAAGGAGATTTCCTGGTCGTCTAGTAGTCACATGTCCTGTTTGTAATGTGAGGAGAGTAGAGCCGCCCCTCCCACCGACAAGACAACAAGGCATTCTGGGACCACTGCGGAAAAGATCGATGGGGGTCCGAGGCCACAGCCTGGTGCGGTGGCACAGGATCACACCGGTGTGTGTCATAAGCGAGCCCTGTCCAGACGCTGGTTTGATGAGTCGACTCAGCTTCTTTTTCCTGATCAGAGGCATTCCAGAAAAAAAAAGGCATTTACATGTTTAATAATTATGTTCAGCAGCTGTTTTGTTTCCTTTTTTCTGTCTTTCTGGCTTTGTGCATGTGGTGGAGGAGGCCGGGGTGTGTGAGTGACGATATGGATGTACTTGAGTGAGTGTGTGCGTGCACGTGTGTGTGTCTGTGTGTTTAAGGGACTATGAGAACTTGTGAGGTGTAGAAGTGGCTGGGAGCCACCCTAATAAACGGCTGGTGACGTGTCTCTCTGTGCTGACAAACAAGAGAGAGCTGCCCTCCCCAGTGAGTCTTGGCCAAATTAGCCCTATTTATTTTAAATATATATAATATGTGTGCCTGTACAGTTCTGTGCAACTAGAGAAATGCTCTAAGGAGTCTGTTTTTTGAAGTTTATTCAGGTAGTGACGTTATTTTTAGTCTGATTTTCTCATTCACCATGTCCATGGTTGGTAAGCTGTACTGAAAAAAAAAAAGTCTGCCAATTAATTTCAGATCACTTTGTAGAGGAGAGAGGGCACTCTGTGACATGAGGGTTGTAGGGAAAAAACACAGTGAATGGAACATTTAGCTTTTTTTCTTGTTGTTTCATTGCAAGCCTGTTCCAAGTGTCTTACTGCACCGGTATAATCTATAGAGTTGATTTGTGTAGTTGCCCTCATTGCATGTTCAGCTTGTCAATCAGACCAGGCCAGGTAACACAAAGGTAGGTTGTCTCTGCAAGGCCCTCGCTAAGACCGGCAAACGCCCATCTCTGCTCTGTACAAAGCCAACCTTTCTGCTATCAAGCCTGCGACATATCTTAAGATACTGTAAGCACTGCTAGATGAGTACTATTTGATATTTTTAATATAAGATTAAAATGGAATAAAAAATGTTGTATTTTACTTCCTTTGAGAAGAATTTCATTATACTGTAATATTGAGACTAAATGTCAATGTGAACTTTTCTCCCCCTTTTTTTTAGTAAAATAAAAGTTACCAAAACACTCTCACTTTGTGTCCGTCTGTGTCAATGATTGAGTCTCTCTGGAAACATGTCAGCCAAAACATTTAAACCACTGACAGGTGAAGTGAATAACTTTGATTATTTTGTTCCAATGCATTGTTCTGCTGGGAAACCTTTGGTTCTGGCATTCATGTGGATACCACCTGACATGCTCCACCCACTCAAACACCATTGCAGACCAAGTACCCCCCCCCCATGGCAACAGTACTCCCCAATGGCAGTGGCCCCCCAGCAGGATAATGCACCATGCCACACTACAAAAACTGTTTACAAATGGCCTGTGGAGCGTGACAAAAAGCTCAAGGTGTCAACTTGGCTTCTAAATTCCCCAGGTCCCAGTCTGCTCAAGGATTCTTGTGATGTGCCGATATCCCAGATGTACCCCTAATCCAAGGTGGGGCCTCCTTGGATCGAACTTGGCTCTGACCTGTCGAGGCATGGACACAGGATCTCTGGGTGTCCTGCGGTGTCTGGCACCAGTGCGTTGGCGGCAGATCCATTTAGTCCAGTGGGTTGTGAGGTGGAGTCACGGTACGTGCCATAGATGCTCATTCAGATTGGGATCTGGGGAATTTGGAGGCCAGATTAACAGTTTGAGGTCTTTGTCACATTCCTTGGGCCATTCCTGAGCTATGTTTGCAGTGTGGCATGGTGCATGATCCTGCTTGGTCCAATAATAATTCACAGAAAACTTGGTCCATGTGGCACCTACGGTTTAGGAGAACATATCAAAAATGTGTTTTTCAAAAATTTCAAAATGGTGGAAATGTAGTGAGGTAGCCATTAATGGTTGATGAAACTGTACTAAGTTCAGTGTAAATAGGACTTAAAGCATAGGAGTTATATTCTTTCAAAGTTGACCATTAAGTCTAGCACCCCCATCAAGCCGATAAGGGTCATATTTGTTTAACAGCACTTGGTCAGAGCTTCAAGTTTTTGGTGACAATTTCATTTGTCCATGATGTACCATTTCACGTGAATAGGGTTTAACTGTTAATAACGATGAAGATGCTACATCATAACATTTTCATGTCCACATATTGTAAGATAATGCTGATTAAATGGAGCATGTGACAACAATAATCAGCACCTGTGTGTCATTTTGAGTTTTGGTAAACAGTGCTTGCAGGAAATGTCAGAACAGTGACTTTCATCTATTTATGTTTTTCCCACCTGATGCACTAAAATCATTCATACATCATCTAAAACTTTAACATTTAGAGCAGTTTTTCTCCCGCTGAAAGACTGAAGCACATTCAATAATTTAAGTTTCAGATCTTTGTATATTACTCCCCCTGGTGGTCTATTCAGAGATGACCTGTGAATGTTTACCATCTTAGATTTTACTACCCTGATCTGCACCTTTAAAATCACCTGGATCAAGAAGAATTCTCTGTGACCCAGAATCAATTTGGAACTTTATTCCAAATTGCATATTTTCCACAATAGGTGGTCTTTGTCTCCTTTTCTTGCTCAGGTCTAACTCCAGTACTGAAATGTTACCATTAGAAAATGCTTTTGGCTTTGGCCCTTATTTACAAGCACTGTAACTTTCTCTTCTGAAATAACTGACACAATATTAAAAAACAAATATATATTATTCTTTTCACAGATTGGGTTATCTCTCTCTCAGCTTTGAGTTACTTGTATTTTACTTGAGTTTTTCCATCTTGTGCAGCTTTAAACTTCTACTTTTGCAGGCAATGGTTGTACTTTTTACTCCATTATATTTGTCTGACAGCTTTAGTTACTTTTCAGATTGGAATTGTTTTTAGAAAATTTGTTTGTTTAGAAAATGTTTCGACTTCCTAGATAAACACAGTATTTAATAGTAAGACACTGATATGTGCTAACAGTCTGGAGACGTTCCATATTAAATGTTAAGATCATGCAGCATGGAGGCTCCTTTTTCAGTATTTCTGATATCAATAAGCAGATTTGTGTTGTTTCCTCAGTCTATACAAACTATAACAAAAATCATAAATAGCCTGAGCCGCCCCGACAACAACAAGTTGAACAAGTTAACAAAAACATCTTTATTCATATAAATAATTCTGATGTAGATTAGTTGAGTAGACACATTATTCTAATAATGAATAACAGCGTTTATCTGAGTCCCATTTGAGTTGGTCGTGGCTCAGAATGGAGGTGAATTGGGTTCAACATTTTCATCTCATCCTTAAAACCTTCAACACAGAAGCAGATCCACTCTGCTCAGTTTCTCCACATGAAGCTGCTTTGCTGTGCTCAAACTGTCCATATAGTAAAAGTAACACAGGTCTTTTACCAACAAAAATCCTGCCCCTTCCACCGAATACATCAGTTCTTCTTATGCAGCAATCCTACATGTGCAGGTAAATATTCACAAGCTGGATTTCCCACATGTGAATCCATTGAGTCCACAGAGCCACTCTTTGGTGGTTCACCGTAAATAATATTCGATGGCAGCAGAGAATGCAGCGAAGCCTCCACATCCCAGCACCCCGGCCTTCAGACCAGCTGCAAGACAGACAAACAATACACGTCAGGACAAGAGAAATATACCACTTTAAATTTAAAACATCAAAGCAAAGACACCAGGTCACATACCACGAAATCCGATGGCTCCTCCAGTAACACAGCCACTGTACACGGCGTTCTTCCAGTCAGATTTACCTCTGTGCTGCAGGTGAAAAACACACAGGGGAGAAGTTACAATGGATTATTTTGCACATCATCACTTGGAGGATCAAATACAGCAGTTTAGCACCAGAGGGTGCCATCACACCATTCTGAGGAGACTTTAAAAAAGCAGAACACAAACATGAGGTTCCCAAAACACATTCTACATGTGATGGCATTACAGTAACAATATGACAAGCAGGATTTCATTAAAAAGCAGTGTGACCTACTGATTCTATGATGCACTCTGTGCAGGAGAACATGGCGCCCACGATTGCAAAGTTCTTGGCGTAGGACATCCCCCTCTGGCCCATGTCTTTGAGTACTTCTCGTGCTGTCGGAGTTCTCAGAGGGTCTTTGGGATCAATACCAACATTGGTATCGATGCCGGCTGTGAAAACACCAAAAGCTCCTCCGAGGACAAAACCTGCAGAGAACAAAAACACCAGCATGAGTGTCCACACAATGAAGCACAACAACATTTACAGACTCGAAGAATAAAATATGATGTACACTGTTAAGCTACTCTCTGATTTCCTTACAGTAATTAATCACATGTGTGTAAAGTACAGGAAATGTCACAGCAATCATTTCATATTATCAGTGAATCTTTGGTCTGTAAAATATTTAATTAGTATCACAGATTCCCAAAGCGTCATTTTCAGACAGCTTGTTTTAATAATCTAGTGGAACATAATATAGTATAGTGCAGTGGTAAAACACAGTATCAAATATAATATGATACAGTACGATACAATTTCATGTAATTCAGTGTGTAATGGACAATTTATCTTAATTTAATGTCTATTTGCTCATTTATTTTTATTTTAACGTATTTTATTTAATTTTTATTATGAGCTGCTGGATAGCTGAATTTCCCTTTGGGGATTAATAAAGTTCTTTCTATTTCTATTTTTCTATTTTCTAATAATAACAAATATAATAATAATCTAGTATAACATAATATAGTATAGTGCAAGAGTAAAACACAATATCAAATATAATATAATTTGGTATGATACAATTTAGTAAGTAAAGTAAAGTAAAAGTCTGGTATGTATGTAACACAATAATATGGTATAATACATAATAATATCAATAATAATATAGCTTAAACTAATTAATACAGTCATTCAAATAAATAATAATAATAATGATAATAATATGTTATTTACATGGCACTTTTCAAAACAAAGTTAAGGCACTTTAAAATACAAAAATAAATAAATAAAAATATTAGAAAATGATAAAAACTGTTCATAAACTAGACAACATTGAGCAACAGGAACTACATACGAGGAAGAGAATACAATTAAACAATACAAAATAAGTGTTATAAAATAAATAAAGATGTAAGATGCAAGAAAACGTTGCTTTCTGTCAGTCAGTCAATGATCTGCGCTCTGTATCAGTATGCCTCATAACACCAGCGTCTCTTCCAGTCCTCTTCCTCCACATGTGCAGCTGATTTCGGAGCTCTGACACCAGTTTACAGCACAGTCAAATCTCATATTAAAACATTTAGTTTAGCGCTAAAGCTAAAGCCACACAGACATCAAACAGCTGTGATGTGTACCTGTAATGTCAGGCTGATATCTTACCTCCCACACAGGCCAGCACAGACTTGAAGGCGCAGCTCTCCATGCCCCTCTCGATCATCTTCTGCTCGTCGGTTTTCACGGGCACCGGCAGCCCCCCCATGACACCGGGACTCAGCTCCTTTATGGGCCTCTTGTCCCCGATCAGGTGCTCCAGGATCAGACTGTACTGAAGCGGTGGACTGTCCATGCTCGGACCCGCCGGAGAAGGATCTTGTAAATCGGAGGCAGCAACGTTCGTAGCTCCCGTGGAGGCGGCCATGTTTCTCAATGACACAGCGCTGTAGGTAAATGTAGTTCAAGACGCGCGCGGGCAGATTCGTCACATTTGTATTGTTTGTAATATTATTTTAATACTTATATTTATAATAATTTAGAAATTAGTAAACCGAAGCAAATGAGAATACATATATTTGAAAGATATTTTTGAAAATGTATTTTATTCTCTGATAAGATTTATTTAAATTCCTATCAGCACATTCTACACACAGGAACAACCTGCCTGACGTCAGCAAGTGCTGCAGTAAATTCTACCTTCAGGGTTACACAACGCTTTGCTTGTGTCTTTATAAATTGTACTGCACATGCACAATGTTTTTTTTCCATCTTACCTATATCATTATGGGTAGACTACTATCAGTAACATTATGGAGTAGATTTTATTTTTTTAAGAAACATAATCATATCAATACACAACTATATGTATATCAATATGATTATGTATCTTTTAATATAAACTGCATAATCAAATAAATAAATGAAGTTAAAATACGTTCAAATTTAACATTTGAATAATTAAATATTTATATAAATACTTAAAAATGTATTTCCTGCAGCTTCTAGTCACCACAGTTCTACTTCATTTCACCACACAGTCAACATAAAGCAAATATTGTGATTTTAATATAATGTTTTTATTAGAAAAGACATCTCATCCTTACAATAAATCATACCTTTTTGGAGGTTTTATGTATATATTTTTGTTGCAGCTGTTTCAGACGGGTGTTGAATTCCCCTATTTAAATCAAGAGAATGACGGAATATTATTTAAACACATATATTCCAATACAACACCAGCCAAGAGCCTGCCATTAGGTTCTCTCAGTAACTTGCACCAAGTCAATAAACACTACTTCATAAAGTTAGCAAAGGAAGCCCTAAGATATTTTTGCTGGACTGTCGTATCTATTTGCCTTAGATTGTACAAGGTTTACTGTGTATGTTAGATTAGTATACAGTTTTATACAAAATATACAATATGCTATCTTGGTTTCTTTAAATGTCCAGCATTTAAGCACAATCCCAACCAGGTTCTCATAAAGAAATACAACAATAAAGAAAAAAATTGATAATCATCAAGCAGTACTAATATTTACCCCCATAAAAACATGCCTGTATGTGTTTTAAACTTGTTGTGTTGTTTTTATTGTATTGTCTGTGTTTTTGTATGTATTTTATATGGACTTGAGTCTGGAATAAAGTTTATCATTATCATTATGTTAAATTAGCCTAAATCTTTGACTTTAGTCTTAACTACATATTGACAATATTTAGGCATTGTAAATGTGTCCCCCCCTGTGGTTTTTTTTTTTTTTAAATATCTATAATATCTACAACAACAACAGCAATAATAATAATAATCGTAATTCTGATAATAATCATAATAATATTAATGATTATTATTATTATTATTATTATTATTATTGGTAGTAGTAGTAGTATTATTAACATTGTTTGTTCTATGTATATATCATGTACTGTATATGTTTATTTAGCTATAGGCATAATACTTAATATTTGTAAGTATGAAAAATTATAATAATGATAATAATAATCATCATAATTATAATAATATAAATGATAATAATAATTATTATTATATAGTTATGAATATACTTTTTAAAAAAGACATACACTTCATAATAATAATAATAATGATCATTATTATTATCATTATTATTATTGTTGTTATTTGTATTATTATTATTATTGTTATGGAGTGACTGGAGTGACTGTATTTTTAAAAAGTTATTTTTTGGATGTTATGTTTGGATAAAAAAAATATTAATAAATGAAATAAAATAAAAACAATAATAGAGTTATTGTTATTATTATTAGTTGTTGTTATAATTATTTTTTTTATTCTATTTTTAAATTGTTGGAGACTTCATTGGTGCCTTCCAGCAGTTGATAGATGGAAAGACTACATTTCCCAGAAGTCTCCTCGAGCACTGCGCCAAAACTCTCTCCACGCGCTCCACCTACCGGCTCCAGCAGGCCGGTGGTAACACTTTAATGACTCGCGTGCGTGAGGCGGCGGCGGCAGCAGCATCCTGATCAAACAACAGCAGCAGCAGCAGCAGCAGCGACACTGAACAGGTGAGATGAAGCTTTTCTCTCTGACAGTCTGTCGCAGCCTTTCCTCTTCTTCTTTTTAATAATGTGTTGAGTTAAAATGTGTAAACTTTACCGTTAACGGTGTTTGTCGGCGGACGTTAACGAAGCTGTCACAGAGAGTCGCGCGGTGTCAGTTGGTTTGAGAGCGACGCCAAACTGACTTTGATGACAGCCTGTTTGTTAGCAGCGTTAACAATATAGCAACATCTGCTCCTTTTAATTTAATGAGTCACTGTGAAGCAGACGTGTCTTTCCTGATGTGACTACGTCTGTCATATAAATAGCCAGAGGACAGGTTGTTTACATGCTAAGTGAACGTGTCACTGTGCGAGTGTCTCATTTGGGGAACAAGTCGAATAAACACGGTTAGAAACAGGACGTTATTTTACGTTTTTACGTGGCTTCACATCTTGAATTTCACTGTGTACTTGGAAAGGTTGCAGCCTCCGGAGTTCAACAGGATCCATGCTGGATCAATACTCCCCATCTGCCTCTTTCTGTCTCAGTGTTTAGTCCAACACGACTGGAAAGAAGTATTAATACATGCAGTGATGGTGTTGTCTTTGGTAGTGTAATGTTTTACCTGACAACTCTATGGGTTTTCTCCTGTGTGAAGGGACATGTCAGTTACATTATCTAACAGGACAGTGAAGATACTGCAGCTTACACATACACACACCCCAAGAAAATCCAGAAACTAAAATGAAAGTCTGTTAATATTTTTAAATATTTGGATATTTCGTGTGTTATTTGAGCTTGACAGACTTTTCTTGATTTATTTTCTTTAACAAACAAATCTAAATTCTGCTTCAAAGCCTTACACTGCCAGGAATACATAGCCTATCTACACGAGGTATGTCGTGGCTGTTTTGTTAGGAAAAAAGTTGTTAAATTGAAATCTAAACCTAGTCTAAAAAATACTGGAATTGGCTTCAAGAATACCCACTGTGTGTACGTTTTTAATGGGAAAATTGTTTAAGATTCAGGGGGATTTAGTGGCATCTAGCAGTGAGCTGAAATGTCTCCCGGTTAGGATTCCTTTAGTGTTCTTTCTTCAGGAGGTTTTCACCAGGAGCCGAATTACTCACAGAGGTCTCTTCCTCTCTAAAACAAACAGACCAGGTGATTAAAATGGGTAAAAATGCTGAATAAAGTAGTTTCACGTTACAAATCAGGTTTTCTCCTATGATGTTTGGCACATCACAAAAGAGCTGCTAGCCCAGCACCTGCTTGTTTCTGCGCACCGATTGTCTCTGATAACTTGATGTGTGCTCACTTTTTTTCTGGTACAGACATTCAGGAGATTTTTAGCGTGAGCTGAATTATCCACAGAGGTCTCCTTCGCTCTGAAACAAATTGACCCGGTGATTTAAATCGGTAAAAAAACTGAAAAAAGTAGTTTAGCATACAAATCAGTGTTTCTCCTATGCTGTGTGGCTCATCAGAGACAGGCAGCTAGCCCAACACCTGCTAATGTGTGCACAACTTTTTTGTCTGACAACTTGAGATGTGACGTTCAGGAGATTTTTACTGGGAGCCAAATTATCCGCAGAGGTCTCCTTCTCTCCAAAACAAATGGACCAGGGGCCTCATTTATAAAACAATGCGTAGGATCTCTACTGAAATTGTACATACGAACAAAGCCAAAAATGGTGTGTGCCAGAAAATATTTGACAATTTCTACAATCAGACTTCCATGTCACCGTCTGTCACAAATTTCCTGTCTCCCAAACGTTTCTCCCATCAAGTCTGTTTTTATAGATCTCAACTTTTGCGTGTGAAGTGGCGTACGCCTCTTTCATGCCTCGTTTTGTGCATACGCAGTGTTTATGAATAAGACCCCTGGTGATTTAAACAGGTAAAACACAGATTAAAGCAGTTTCAAGTTAGAAATCAGTGTTTCTTTGACGCTGTTTGGCATGTCAGAGACGGGCCGCTCACCCAGCACCTGCTAATGTGTGCTTACCTTTTTTCTCTAATAGTTTAAGATCCAGATGTTCAGGAGATTTTTTTTAGTCTCTTCCTCTTCAAACAAACGGACCCCGTGATTTAAACTGGCAAAAACACTGAATAAATCGAGTCTAAAATATTGGTGTTATGGTATAGAGTAGAATCCCCCCATGTTTAGGCCAAGTTTTTCATGTTAAAGTCCTCCTAGGTTGCAAAAATCCCCAAAGTTTCCTCAGAAATACAGAGGATATGACCTCAGTACCATCAGTGGTAGATAAAGCCCTTAACTCAAGATCTATACACAATACAAAGATTTACTTTTATCAGATTTGAATCAGTGAAGGTAGCTAGGCGCCGTTTAGCACCAGCCTGAAGGGTTATTAAAGTTTTCTCTCCAAAATAAACCTGCAATTGTACAAATTAATTTACTAATTCAGCTGCACTGCTTATTTTTTCACGTGTTTTTAGGTAAAATTCACATTTGCCGCTAATGGCACGTTGCCCTTTGGTACCACTTCAATGCACTGCAAGCAGTTTTACTTCACATGATCAGCGAGCCATTTGTTCCTCATTAGATCAGTGCCATGTGAAGCAGTCAAACAGGGCCTTGTTGTGTTTAGTGTGCCTTTATGTGGAAGCTTGTTGTTTATGTCTTTAATAGGACCTTAAATGCTTCATTACAGCAAACTCTCCTGACTAAGCTCCTGTCTGCGATTCTACTCCTGCCACGTAACATTTACTTGTAACCTACATTACCGAAGTGCTCCAGAAACATCAGATCACTGCCTGAAATAGAGATGCTTTAATAATAAACCTTTTCTATTTTGGTCATGGCTTACTGTGCAGCATAATTGGACTTTTCAATAACGACAAAAGGGAAAGAAAAGTTGTAAAATATCCTAATTGCAGAGCTTACGTTGTAGTCTTG